TTACTGTTTACATTTTAGTATATGTGGATGATATTCTTATTAGTGGGAACCATCCAAACTTAGTTGCGCAGGTCATCAACTCTTTGGCTAGCAGGTTCTCACTAAAGAATCTTGGTGAGCTTAATTATTTCTTGGGAATAGAAGTTAAGCGTGACCCTAATGAATTGATTATGAAGGTGACTCTTAGCTACATCAGCACTCAAATTCCTAAATCGTTATTTCCCAGGTTTCGATGATCAACCCCTGACACATTTTGGTTGTTTTGAAATCTTGGATACACCTTTAGGCACATGTTGAGGAATGATTAGAAAAAATTGAGAATCGTTCCAAAAAGTTAGAAAGATTGTTGGCCAGGAGTGGACCTAAGTAAGACTGAGGGGTTCATCCAAACTCTCTTCGGCAAAAAGTTACATTGTTTATACATGCTTAATATTTTTTTAATGTATATATAATAGATGTTGAACCCCGTTTGACTTCTTCATGTATTTACTTATTCATATTTTGAACCCTCTAAGTGAAAATTCTGGCTCCGCCACTGTTGTTGGCTAAGATCCTTTTAGAACTCTTGAGATAATTATGACTCACAAAATTTGTAATCTATCAAGTCTCAAATTCATTTATCTTTTTGTTTTGTTCTAAGATCTCATGTATTTAAAATAATTTTTTGCAGTTTGTATATCTTTTCAGTTACTAATGATATCTCAATTTTTCCTTTGAACTCTCTTCTTAAGACCAAAATAGTTATTATCCTTTCTTTGTTTTATAATAATTTAACAATGGATTTTTTAAAAAGAAAAAACATTTTTGTCTTTCTCTTTCAAGATCTGCCCTTATAATAAGTTCTTTTTTAAAGCCAAATCGATGATTTTATTAGAAACAAAAGAGGATCAATAATTACAAGGGTATAAGCCCAAAAGTGGCCCAACCCCGAAAAAGAAATAGGAAACAAATAAATCTAAAGAAAAATCATAAAAGGAAAAGTCACAAAAGCTGGACCATTTCCAAAATATCTGGACCTTCATTAACTCCAAGCTGCCCCATGTAGGGGAAATCGACCTCTCCGATGAAGGGACCGGTGAGAAGAGGATAAAATAGTTCAAACACTTCCAATCTGTAGACATATATCGAAACAGATTCGTTATGAACTCAATATATATGCTAATTTCTTTTGTGATCACACAATCAACATGATTTTGTAGGTGAAATGATAACAATTGAGTGATTTTTTTAATTATAAACTATAGTTGAATAACTTTTCAAAATAAATAGGAAAAAGGCACAAGTACCCCCTAGATTATGCTCGAAATCTCAGAGACACACATTAACTAAACTAAGGTCCTATTACCCTCCTAAACTTATTTTTTTTGTAATTTTGTACACCTTTTTGGCTTACATGACATCCAAATATCTCCCACGCGCCTCAATTGCGTAAGGTGTGTCTCTGAGATTTCGGTCATAGTCTAGGGGGGTACTTGTGCCTTATCCCAAATAAATATCATTAGTTGAGTGACCTTTATGTTACAAAACAAAGTTGAATGACTTTTAAATTATAAAATAAAATTGAATAACTTTTTGAGATAATTGTCATTGGTTGAGTGACCTTTGTCTTACAAAAAAAAGTTGAGTGAGTTTGTGAGATAAAAATTATTACTTGAGAGACCATACAAAAAATTAATTCTATATTATATAAATATACACTAGGGCTCACATTAGGGGGAAAAAGTTGATCAAAATTGATATGTATAGTAATACTCAAGATTGTGAGAGTACCGCCCTGGCCATGGCTGCCACTGGAGCTTCGACCGTAGAATGGCCAACAAGAAGTAATTTCATTTTTCTGATTTTAACCTCTACTTGATTTTTTGTTCTTTTTTTGTCAATGATTATACACTACTACTACTACATATTCGTGGAATTGCAAGGGATCTCCCACTGGGAGTCTCAGGTTTGAAATCTTCCTATATGATTCCTCATGGGGGATTGTCTAGTATGGTTTATCTCTCCTATGTAATTTGTGGGAAAGTTTTACTCTGTGAACCCTAAAAAGAGTAGTGATCGTGATTCTCTTGTCATAAATAAAAAAAAAGGAAATGATGAAGGGTAGAGGGTGGACCCATTATCTTATGAGTTTCTAACTCTAGGCGACTACGTCATTGACCACAGGGATTTCTTGGCTATAAAAAAGGGTAAAAAATAGTAAACAACAATAATGGCATAGATGGTTTTATTTTATTGGACCACTATGAATTCTTTATCATCGAAAGAGTACAACAACATACTTAGGGGTCATTTGGTTGGGAGGGATAAGTTATCCCGGGATAAGTTATCTCTTCACTTCATGTGTATGAATAACTTATCCCATCACTAAGGTATAAATTGTGGTATCAATAATCTCATGACTACCTAATACCTCTAGCCAAATACAGGATAAAATATATAATCCTACATTTTATCCTAGAATTATTATACTTTATACCTCAAACCAAACAACTCCTTAGTATAATCCTACTAGTGGTGTCTGTGGTGTTTGGGGAGAGACGTAGCCACATACAATGAACGGTAGCCAGTTACCCTACTGTGAAGAATTATATTGCATATGTAAAAGTTTATACGAAATATATAATTTAAAAAATATTTTTTGTGTGAAAATATTAATTTTCGACGCTGAGGGTAGGATGTATACAATCCTTACCTTACCTCTGTAGGGTAGATAGACCCTCGGCTAAATAAATGGCATAGATTTGTAAAATTAATTGTAATTACAATATTATCCAATAGAGTGCACTTATGAATGGTAATAAAATTTTTTATGTTGGAGGGAAGTTAAAATGTTTTAGACAAGTACATTTAGAGGGAAATTAAAATGTATTAGCATCTGAAATATTTAACACTGTCCCAAAATTTGCTTGAAATTTTAATGATGTAAGCAATCAAGTTCTTTAATAATTGTGCTATACTTATTATTATTTTTGTTTGTAGCACTTTTAGATTCTACAGTTCAACTGCAAATGCAAATGGAGGTGACTGGCAGGAAGAGGTTTATGAAAAGGTATTGTTTGCAATGGTAGTTTTTTCTACACAAGATTTTGAAAATTGTGGAAATTTGACATGTGGAGTTTGATACACTGTTTGCTTTTAACTTCATAAGAAATAGCTGAATATTTGCTATGATTATAGAGTAGCGTTTTGAACTCGCGTCATATCCAACAAACACATGCTTGACACTTTGATCATAAAGTTTAGCTCTCCCTTGATGTGGAACATGATCATAGGCTATGCTCCCAAAGGTTCTCAAGTGCTTGATACTTCACTTTCTTCTGCTCCATGCTTCCTGAGGAGCTTGATCTCGAACATTTTTTGTTGGAGACCTGTTGCTTAAATAAAGTGCACAAGAAACAGCCTCGGCTCAAAATTCTTTTGGTAGATATTTAGCTTTCAACATACATATAACCATATTAAAAATTGATCTTTTCTTTCTGCAACTCCATTTTTTAGTGG